AAGCGCTAGTATAACGGGCACCGGGGTTCGTATAACTTATCAAAATCTTCCGATCTAAAACTCCGTCTTTTAAGGCGGAGCTACAGATCGACAAAACGGTAATTAGTAACACACCTTGCCATACTACTAAAAATGTGCCATGATACCTCTCTGCAATATATAAATGGAGGTATTCCGTTGAAACTTGAAACACTTGAATTGAAATATCAATCTACTGGTCATGGTGTGTATGCTTGTGAGTATCATATCATCTGGTGCACTAAGTATCGGCGTTCTGTACTTTCTCCTGAAATGCAACATCGCATCAAAGAAATTGTAGTAGAGAACCAAGAGGACTATGGGTATATTGTTCGTGCGATTGAATGTATGCCTGACCATGTACATCTGCTTGCAAGTATACCTCCAATAGAAGCCGTTGGTGTAATCGTCGGTAGAATCAAAGGTATCATATCCAAAAAACTTCGTGAAGAGTTTCCTGCACTTCAGAAGCGTCTCCCCTCAACTATGGACACGCTCAAAGTTTGTTGCCTCTACAGGAGGTGTAACCTTAGAAGCCTTGAAGCAATACGTTGAAAGTCAGAAAGGAGTTTAACGTTGAAAGTTGTGCGAACTGGCGTATTAAAGATTCAATCACAACCACTATTGTCTGAAATCAACGCGGCAAGTGCTTCTGTTTGGAATGAATGTCTCCAGTTGATGGAATGGTATCAATGGCAACGTGGCTATCCCCATGCTCGTGATGACTTTTGGATTGGCCTCGATTGTGAAGGTTGGCTGGACAAGAATCTATCAAAGTCCCAACCCCTACACTCCCAAAGTATCCAGACCGTCCGAAAGCAGTATTTCAAATCATGGCAGTCCTATTGGAAACTCCGTAAGAGCAATGTGATTGAGAATCCTAAACCACCACACAAAAAGAAGTCTTTCATGACAACACGCTGGTTAAAGTCTGCCATCCGCTTTCAGGATGGCGCACGTTTTGGCAAGCATGTTGTGCTATCAATGGGAAGTGGACGACCCGCATTAGACGTCCCGCTCCCACACAGTTTTGATATGTCAAAAACGGATGCGATTGCTACGATTGACTTGTGCTATAACTATGGTCAATGAGAGCTTCATTTCACCTACAACTTTGAATTGGAAATTGCAGAAGTGGTAGGACTTACGCAAAATCCATAGACATAATTGTTGAAAAACAGTAGAATGAGTTGCATGGAGGTGAATATGCCCCAACCGACTCGACTCGATTACTGTCAGTATTTGCTCAGTAGCCCCATCAACTATACCTTAACCCATTTGGCAGACCATAGCCAACAGTTCAGTCATGATATGATAAACCGTTATCTTGCCGGTGAGCGTATCCGCCCACGCTTGGTATGGGAACATGTCAAACCCCACCTTGTGCAAACAGAACAAGGATATGTCATCTTTGATGACACCGTTTTGGATAAGCGCTACGCTCGGAACATAGCACTAGCACGTCGTCAGTATAGCGGCAACGCCAAAGGTGTCATTAACGGTATAGGTGTGGTGACTTGTGTCTATGTCAATCCCGACTTAGACCGTTTCTGGGTGATTGACTACCGTGTTTACGACCTACAGACAGATGGCAAGACCAAATTAGATCATGTTAAAGAGATGTTATCCCACTCGGTCTATCACAAGCGGCTTTTGTTTTCACGGTGTTGATGGATAGCTGGTATGCCGCCAAAGATTTGATGCTATACATTGAACAGTTAGATAAACATTACTATTGCCCGCTGAAGTCGAATCGTCAGGTAGATGACTCCAATGCCCAAACGCCTTACCAGCGTGTAGATGGCTTTGCAGTGGACCGAGTGTGAACGCCGACGCGGGAAACGGATTAAAATCAGAGGCTTTGCCAAGCATCACAAGGTGAAACTTTTCCGGGTTGCGTCCGGTAACGGGCGCACGGATTATGTTGTAACCAACGACTTAGCTCAAAACGACACTTCAGTTGCCCAACAAGCGTGTAACTGGCGGTGGAAGATTGAGCAGTTTCACCGTGAAGCCAAGCAGTTAACCGGTCTTGAGGGGTGTCAATGTCGCTTGGCACGGATTGTTCGCAATCACATCGGGTGTGCAATGTTGGTTTGGGTTCGACTCAAGCAAGTCGCGTATCAGACAGACCAAACCATTTATCAAGTCAAGCACAGTTTATTCTCTGAATACTTGCGACACCAATTGAAATCGCCCGCTATTCAGATGAAACTTGCGTAAGTCCTAAGTGGGTAAGAATGTCATGGGTGTAGATATTGGTGAGATTCATCCAATCGTCTGCCATGATGGGCTCCATACCTATATTCTCAACGGACGGTATATCCGATCGCTATACCGCTTGAGAAACAAAGTGATTGCTGGTTTTCAATCTAAGATTGACAGGTGTAAACGAGGCTCTAAACAATGGTGGCACTTAGTTAAGCGGAAATGGAAACGTGTTAATCGCATAGATAATCAAACCAAAGATGCCCTCCACAAACACACGAATACATTCGTCCAGTTGTGTCAAATCCACAACGTTGGGGCGGTTGCCATCGGTGATTTAACTGGCATCCGAAACGATATTGACTACGATAAACGTGCTAACCAGAAACTACATCAATGGGCGTTTGCAAAATTGACAGACATGATTGTTGATAAATGCAAAGCCGTTGGAATCAAGGTCAAGAAAGTGGACGAGTCATATACCTCGCAAACATGCCCATCTTGTGGAAAACGGCATAAGCCATCTAACCGTAACTACAAATGCAAGTGTGGGTTGGAGTACCATCGAGATGGCGTGGGTGCAATCAATATCCGTAAAAAGTATCAGGGCTGCCTTGGCACCCCTGTAGAGGCGGCCATGGCACCGCCCGTTGGGATTCGGTTAGAAACCCAATGTTGCTCTGCCTGAGCAGAGAATGTTCGCTGGACGAACAAAAGAATCTCCGTTCTTTAGGGCGGAGAGTATGTCAACTCTCCAGAGTCTGAATAACTCCCTGAATTCTCACAAATTTAGTTGCGTCCAAATCAAGAAAGGAGCAAGATCAGGATCCGATGATGGTAAACATTGTAATGGTCGGTGCTGGAGGGATTGCTAGAACACATGGCAGCTCGCTGATGCGCATCCCTGGTGCAAATGAGGTGATTTCTTTGTGATTGTGGAGAATCGGTGAATCGCCGCTCCTACCGGTCTGTCAAGTTTAGTGATGGAGGCTGTCTGGAGGGTCCACAACATAACGTCAACCATTTTGTGGGAAGGCATACGTGGAGGAAAATATGCTCACCAAACAACAGCAACAGCATTTTGAGGTGTTCGGGTTTGTCGTGTTTCGGCAACTGTTCTCCTCCGACGAGATGGCTATCATCATCCGTGATTTTGAGAGCAGCGATGCTCGAAGACCGAGATGGTAAATCCTTCGACGGCAAGACACGCCAACAGGTGAATGACTGGTTTCTTGGGCGACCTTGTGCTGAGTTGTTGATAGATAATGAGCGCATTGAGAGATCGATTGAGCAATTGCTGGGGCCCGGTTATACATTTAAGCAGGGAAACGACGGCAATTTTTACGTGGGAGATACCGGTTGGCATCCGGATCTGGGGTGGGATCCGCACATCCCGGAAGGGGAGAGCGACCCCAACCGAAACATTGCACAGTGGCGGCATCACTACCGTCCGAGCATCAAGGTTGCGTTCTATCTGGATTCGGTTGGCAAGGATACCGGCTGCCTTCGCGTTATTCCGGGCGCGCATCGGAATCCGTACCACGACCAGTTGTGGTCACTTCACCTGAATGTCCCTTCTGCCGTGTCCGAAGACGACTCCTACAAGTTTGAGAATGTGCGTCCAAAACTCCTTGAAATGTGGGAGCAGGCGACAGGTGATAAGGAAGGTGCGGAACGATTCCTGTCGGATCCCGATATAAATCACTTCGGAATAGCACCGTGCGACATTCCGAGCTTCCCCATTGAATCTGAGCCGGGCGATGTTGTCTTCTTTAGCCATCAACTTTGGCATGCGTCGTTCGGAGGGCGTGTGGGTAGACGGATGTTCACACTAAACTTCCGAAGCGCACTGGCTAGCGATGACGGATAGCACATAGTATCTTATCTATAAAAATTTTATTAGAAAGGTCTGTTATGGAATATCGTGAATTTGGAAGACAGGGATGCGGTTGAGTGTCATAGGGACGGGAGGTCTCCTCGCACACTATTGGGAAGGAGAGTCCGGTCATCCACCACCCGAAGAGAAGCGGCGGATTTATCTGCGAGCAGCCGAAGCCGGGATAAACCTATTTGACATGGGCTACGGGGATGAAATCCATATCCCGGAAGAGTTAAAGGGCAATACGGACGAACGCCACTTCTCCCTGAAAGTTGGTGATCCTGCAGCAGCAGACTTGGAAGGGATTATCGACGGACATCTTGTAAATCTGCGTAGAGATGCGATTGATATCCTTCGGGTACACTATTACGCCTACATGAAGGATGCTCAGTTGAGGAAGCGAATCACTGATCTCAAGCAGATGGGGAAGGTGCGATCGCTCTGTACGATACGCCACTTTGAGGAAGATCAAGATGCCTATATAACGCGCGGTCCAGAAAAAGCGGCGGACGCAGACTTGGTTATCTATAATTATGTCTGCCGCGATCAGGCAGCGGGTATTCGAGCATCGTCCAAAGCTGGCAAGGGAGTCTTGGTAATGAAGGCACTCGGCGGGCAATACTTAAGTTGGCAGCATAAAACCGGGACGGACTGGACCCAAGCAACGGAGGAAACTCTGGTGAAACTTTCACCCCTCGGTGAAAGTATGCGTAGCGAACTGCCGCTTGTCTATTCTTTTACCGCCGGTCCTTGGAATGAGTTGGTTGAGTCGGAGAAAAAGATCTCGCCGACCGGGAAGGCGTTGTCATGGGGTGCTTGAGAACCAAGGCGTGAGCAGCACTTTGGTGGCGGTTGCTAGTGTTGCAGAACTTGAGGCTGTTTTAGAGGGTATATAGAAGTTCTCTAATAGCCAATGGTGCTAGTTTACAAATGTTGAAACACTCTCCGGTCAAAGACCGAAAGTGATACGTGAAGCGTGAAAACAATTGGTTCATGAATGAACTTCTGAACCAATGAACTCTTGAATGATGTGGAAACGACATCCGCACCAACTAGTACCGAAGTGAATACCAGTTACGAGACTGCCACAAGACTGTTGAGTGAGGTTTTTATGGATATACAATTGACATCGGTTCAAAAAGAAGAGTACCAACGCGATGGTTATACCATCGCCAAAGGCGCGTTCGATTCAGACGAGTGTGATCGGTTTTATCGAGTATATGATAGACCTACATGCAGGGCGCAAGACCGTCGAAGGCTACCCCCCACGGGAGCCGGACGACTGGAGGCGAACACATAACCGTTCCCTTCACGAGCCTGTGGGACTAGAGTGGATGCTGGATACTAGACTGTACCAACCGTTGCGGACGCTCCTCGACGATGAGCCGGATGCGGTACAGAGTATGTATTTCTATGTCGGTTCGGAACAGCGTCGGCATCAGGATGCGTACCATCTCCCGGGCTGTATGTCGGCATGGATCGCGCTTCAGGAGGTTGGTGCATGGAACGGAAGCATCCACGTCCAAGTCGGTTCTCACAAAGAACCGCTTATCAATAAGAAGAATTTTAGGGATGATGAAGACGGCAACCGGGG